GTTATTGAATCCATGGAAGATGGCGAATTCTACAAGTATTTAGGATTCCAACAGGCCAAACTAACAGAACATACACAAATAAAGCAAAGATTAATTTAAGAATATCAAAGTAGGTTAAATGCCATTCTCAAAACACAGCTAAATGCAAAACACACAGTTAAAGCAATAAACATATATGGCGTCCCAGTACGCACTTATTCTTTTGGACTAACACAGATCTTGAACAACTCCAAAGGAAAACAAGAACAACACTTACTAAGCATAAACAACATCATCCTAAATCCGCTACAGAAAGATTAACCCTTCCACGTAAAGAAGGCGGACGTGGCCTGATCGACATAGTTAACCTTCACTACAAACAAATACAGTCACTGCGAGAGTTTTTCTACAGGAAACAAGAAACATCACAATCACATAAAGCTGTAACTCTAGCAGACTCAAATAACACACCATTAAACTTACACTCACGTCATACAGACTTGACGCAACACATAAAAAGCATAGACACCATCAAGCAATCGTGGGCTCGAAAGGCACTCCATGGCAGGCATCCTTATGACCTGGCCCAGGATTTTGTTGACAAAACTGCGTCAAACAGCTGGTTAGATCGGGGATGCCTCTTTGGGAGACAGAAAGATTCATGATTGCCATACAGGATCAGGTCATAAATACTAAAAACTACAGAAAATACATACTCAAAGATACAACACTCACAAATGACACATGCAGAAAATGTCACATCATGCCAGAAACAATACAACACATCACTTCTGGATGCAAGCTCTTGGCACAGACAGATTATTTACACAGACATAATCAAGTAGCAAATATAATACACCAAGAGCTTGCAAAGAAACACAAATTGGTAGGCATTCACGAACCATACTACAAATACTTTCCACAGACAGTATTGGAAAAAAACACGCACAAAATGTACTACGACAGAGCCATAATCACAGATAAAACAATTTACCACAACAGACCAGACATCACACTCATTGACAAACACAATAAAATCACATACATTTTAGATATAGCCATTCCAAACACTCACAATGTACAAAACACATGCAGTGAAAAAATTAGCAAGTACACAGAACTCGCCCAGGAAATAAGGCATCTGTGGAGAATGGAAAGGGTGCTTATAGTACCTGTCGTTTTCTCCTGTACAGGTGTGATACCACACACACTATACAAAAGCCTGGGAACATTACAATTGAATAGAAATTCATACATCACACTACAGAAGGCCACTATATTGAATACATGCCATATTGTTAGGAAATTCCTGAATACAGATACTGACACACTTATTTAATTTTAGTTTTGTTTTGGTTGCTATGCCTTGACCCTGGTCCGGCATAGTACACAGCCACTGGTATCAGCCGAGAATAATCCACTAAACCCAACAACAATAATAATACAGTAATAATAATAACAAACTGTGTCAAACTCTTACAATCAGCATCAGAAAAAATCACTAGTGGGCTTTTACCACCCAGTTCTAAAGTCACTCTCTTTAAGTTAGTCAGTCCTGATGCTTGCTGAATCTTTCTTCCAACCTAAAAAATCAAGATAATAAATTTTTTAAACTAAATGTTTTAACGTTATGAGTAAATCATTTATACCTGAACAGAACCTGTAAATGAAACTTTATTGACATGTAAATGACATGTCAAAGCTGCACCGGCTGTCTGCCCATATCCGGGAACAATATTTACGACTCCTGGTGGAAAACCAGCTTCAACAATTAAACCAGCTACATATAAAGCAGTCAAAGGCGTTTGTTCAGCAGGTTTAACCACAACAGTATTTCCAACAGCTAACGATGGACCTAATTTGTTAGCTAACATGATCAGTGGAACATTCCACTGATAGAGTTATTAACGTTAATAAGAAATAGAGTTATTAACGTTAATAAGAATCAAAAGTCTTATCTGATTTCTAATTACCGTAATAACTTACTGGGAGAATTAGACCGCAGACACCAACAGGTTCCAATCTAGTAAAGCTGAAGACATTGCCATCTATAAAAATTATATTCATAATTGAACCTGCATCTTGATATTAGGGTCAATGAGAGATACTTACCCGCTGGAATTGTTTTTCCATGAATTTTATCGGCGCATCCTGCATAATAGTAAATTGTGTCAATTGTCATTGCGAGATCCCATTGTGCAGTTGCATAGGTTTTCCCATTATCGAGACTTTCTAAATTCTAAATAAATTATTTATTATATCAAAAATCTGCATATATACAAGTATATGTTAGACAGGACTTTTACAATAACATAGGCTATATATACAATGTGGAAAAGAAATTCACTTAACATCCTCGCTACAGAATATAAAATGTAGTACCCATTGTTAAAATGTCAGGAGCACATTAGACAAGAAGGAAACAGATTGGTGTGTGTAACACGCACGGCCGCGGTTTTGATGGCGGCCATATTGAATGCAACTCCGAAACTGTAAATAGGAAGGGGGTCGGTCATGTGACGCATCATTTAAGATCACAAGAAATTGAGTTCTGAAAGATATTATTGACCTACATCGAACGGTTAGAGTTATGCACGTTACGTGATGTGCTTAATGTACCAGTACATTCTACATTCTGTAGCATGGGAGTTAAGTGAGTCGGTCTTTTCACTTACATCAAAGTAGACAAATATTCGTCTATTATTATCGATCATGTCAAAAAAACATTTATCATTTGTAAATTCTTTTAGACGGATTCAAGTTTGAAAGATTGTCGTATGACAACTTTAACATTTACGGAACGCAAGGAAAACATCCGCCCTTATTTAAATATGCTTCTAATGGAATTCGCTACGTGTATGAATTTTAATGATTTTTACTTGAAACTGGTGCTATAGAAGTTTTGATAAAAATCATTAGATCTTTGATAGGCACCAAACCAAAAGGTATAAAAAGAGATGCTGCCTAAAAATAATTTTAATTTTACTTCCTCGTTGTTATAACATAAAACGGGAAAGTATTGTAATCGAGTCAAATTTGTCCTCTGAAATTTTTAAAATTTTTATTTATTGCAAATCTCGACGTTTCGAGACCCCCGAACCCAAATATGTCAAAAATAAATAAATAAAAAATTCTTGGGATAAGAATATGTATAGTATATGTGTGTGTGTGTGTGTGTGTGTGTGTATGTATTGGGTCTATTTCCTTTAATATCTCAGGATAGGGTAAAGATTAAAAAACGAAATTTGACTTGTTAACTTCTATATGATGGGCATTGATGCTAGTAAATTTTGGAGTACGGGGTTCAAGAGGGTGAGAAGATAACTTAGAGAGAGTAGTGTGTCATATTTTGAGTGGTGTCCGACTTAATGAAAATTTTACTCGTTATTCGCATTTGCAATTTTTATTAAAAGTTCCTCTCTACCCTCAAAATTAAACCTTTTTTCATTTTTTATAATAGTTAATAATATAAAAGTTATTTTTAATAACATCTCATAACAGATCGCCACATAAAAGTTTATTTAACTATGAGTTAGTATCATAGTGATTTTAAGCTTAAATGTTTTTTTAAATGGAGATTTCTATCGTAATTCAACAAAATCACTCGTTTTAAGCTTTTTGTTATTACTTAAATTTTATATCGTAGTAAAATTGAAAATTATTGGCCTTCCTAATAACGGTTGCCTAACCTTCTTAGGAATTCGAGTGCCGGGAAAGTCGAGCAAGAGCCCTTGCCAACTTTTTTTCTTATCACTCCCACATTATAACTATTGCATTAATAATTTAATGCAGAGTTGTTATTGTTTTCCATATTTTTAGTAATGCACTTAAGAAGTATTATGGCGCTGCTTAGCATTATATTTCGCAAAACCCCCGAAGTGTTGTGTTACCCTAGTGTAGCGCGGCACCCCTTTGAAAACACTGATTTAGAGTAATCATACTTAGGAGGCCGTAGTGGTTTCTACCCCTATAAAGTTAATGTTATTTTTACTAACAAAAAATAAAATCTTTAAGACTGCTTTCTTATTAATGAAGGACAAGTATAAAATTTGAAGAAAAAACGCATGCTTCAATGGATCAATAAAGAAACATTCTACGATTTCATTTATTCAAAAAAAGATAGCTAACGGTGCCCAAAAAGAGGCAGAAGGGGCCCGCTTTACACCGGGCATCATACGAACTTTCGGAAGCCATGTATATAACAAATTAACTTCAGTATAGGAGTAACTTAGTATAATGTCAGTAGACACTTCTATGGTAAATCAGTGAGTTTCAATTTCCCCTATTGTCCTATTTTTAAAATTTGCCTTGCATTAGCAGGAAATGTGAATAAATTAATGTACTGTAACTCTATTTTACAGAAATGGTTGATTTAATATAGGAGGGGCGGCAGATCAAGTGTGTCATCAGCGTGGGGTGTCTAAAAATTGGTGAAAAAATGTAACACGGGGAAGGAATGAGTCAAAAAAAGATTTAAAATTGGTGATTTCATATTTGAATGACCTCGTTTTGTTACGTTAATTAATTCACTTTCGTGTCAATAACCTAAATATTTATATCGCCTATTAATATTACAGCAAGTTAGTTATTTTTTAAAAAATAATAATTCCTAGACCTAAACGATTTAAAATATGTATAAATATGTACAAACGTGGACTTTTGTTAGATCATAAAAGAAAGCTTTATATATTTATGTTTGTTGATAAATTTATTATTAAAAATCTACTTTTAATTTAACGTTTTATAGACTAAAAGCTTAAAAATATGTGTATATATAGTAATCATATATATATGTAAATATATACTGTATATCTAATTGAATAATTCCAATGTGTAAATAGGGCTGTGTAAATAGTCAAAAGTTTTCACAATTGTATTATAATATAAATGATTGAATTCGTCTATTTATTTTTATTATATTAATTATTATTATTGGACATGTTTACGAGATATTTTAGAGCTTTAAATTTTTATATTTGACGGCATCAGTTATCTGTGATAAAACTTTAAACGAGGAAAAAGTTGATCGTTCTTTAATTTTATTCTACGACTAACAATATAATAATTTATTTAATTAAATCTTACCGTTAAATAGTCTCTATCTCTTTCTATAAGTTGTGCCAATTTGTATAATAACTTGCCCCTGGCTGAAGCATCCATAGTTCTCCATACCGATCCCAATTTGAAAGCTTGTTTAGCTGCTTGTACAGCCTTATCAATATCAATCTAAAAGTGTAATTTATTAGGAAAGGCTGAGGAATATTATATACCGATTTATAAATTGTCAATGATACTTGCTTTATCACCTTCTTGAACATCACAAATTTTTTCACCTGTACTAGGATCGATTGTCGGGAATACTTTTCCACTTGCAGAATTTTCCCATTTATTATTGATGAAAATCTAACATAAATTAAATAGTAGCATTAGCAATTAATAAAATTCAATAAAAGTATTCGAAATTAAAATTACTTTAGTAAATTTGATAGGTATATTTCGATTTGGTGGCATATCGGAGTGGTGTTTTCTAGTTAGTAAGTAGGAATTACATTGACAAGCGTATCGAGATCTTTCGTAATAAATGTAGTGCTCGGGAGATATTTTTAGCAAAGGGATAAAATAAACCTATAAAAAAATTAGTATTGCGTCACAATTAAAATATTTATGCCAATAATTTCTTGTTTATCTTTCAAGCATGTAAATAAAATGTTGTTATTATTATTCTAATATAAATGCATATTCTTGTAGGCCAAATTAGCTGAAAAGGACATACGACTTTGTCCAATAAAATTAATTCTATTTATCTTATTAACGATTAATATTCATATATAGTACTTTACTAGTAATTCAAGTTGGAAGTGAATGCTAGCGAGTCAGGTAAAGATTGGAACAAGTTTAAATTTAATTAAACTTCGCGAATTCAAAGTCGTCTACTTTTTTATGGAATAAATTTGTCGAAAGGTCTATTTGTAATGATTGGTTTCGATAAGTTAAAACATTTATCACAAATTTAGTTAATTTTAAACGATATTTTTAGTTAATAATAGCAAAATATATTGTTTAATGAAGAAAACAAAAAACTCATTGAAGGGGCCACAAAATAGGGGTTATCAGACTTGTCACAACCTCCTCCTCCCAGTGTGGACATCATTTATGAACAGCTCTTATATAGTTAGTACCCAACATTATATATCAAGCTTTCTGTTAGTAAAATTTACTTTAAGTTTCTCAAGATGATGTCCACGAAGGCAGTTGTTACTACTCTGTTTATCCAGGTTTTATATTTTAGATCAGGGATGGCGAATCTTTTTGAGCTCACGCCATATAGTAAGCATACTTATCTTAAAAATGTTTATGTTTGCCGAAGTTTTAGACTTCAAATAACGGCATTTAAAAAAATTGGACTACACAAATATATTTGAATTAAAATAAATGTAAAGAAGTTGATTTTAAAAAATAGATGATAAATCGAAATCGCATGATAAGTTATGTGCCAGATGATTTCGCCCTACGTGCCACTTTCGACACGCGCGCCATTGGTTTTCCACTCCTGCTCTAAATTTAAATTAAGACCTTTCCTAATATAAATAAATTGAAAAAAAGGAAGTGTTAAGCCATTCTTTTTTTAAAATTACTGTACAGAGCCACGCTTCTGTATATATTGTTTTGGCACTGCATTAAAAACATTAGAAAAAGTTTGTCACCCCACTGACTTACTCTATAACACCAAAATTCCGTAAATAGGTCATCAGTTTCCACTGTTGGAAACTACNCTTTCTCTTCTTATCTCTGTAGGCAATCTACCAAATGCACTCAGGAAATTGAATGTTATTTCTTTTTTAAACTTAATTTCGATATCAGAAAAAATAAATAAATAAATAAATATAGCAGCATATATTTCAGTATCTGGTTTATTAGCAATATTTACATAAAATTATCCAAAATTTTAATACGGTTACGAATTTAATGTAAGCGAAACGACTTTCTTGCCGATTTTTCTATCTTTGCAAAAAAGTGCAGTCTGCAAGTGATGTAAAAATGTACAACTTGCTATTATAGTAACTCTGTGCCTGACATTTTCACATCCCACTTGCTAGAAATCTAGCAATTTTAAATTCACGTCTCTGTTCGTAAAAACCGACGATTTCATCCTCGTCTCTTTAAAACACAGACGATCTGAAACCGAATTCACAATTGTATATTACAAAAAACAAAAAATAAAACTAAAATTAATGAAAACACTACAAAAACTACTTTGAAAATACACACGTGCTAACGAAACTCATGCCCATTTAGCCTACCGGACTAGGTGGGTAATTCCAGTCGGAATCGTTCCAAAGGAACTGTTCCGGACTCGGAACTACGAAGAACAGCCCACACCGAGTGTTGAGACCGTTTCGGTCGGAACTACTGTACTAACGCGTTCTTCATTCTGTACTTTTACCAATACGGTTTCCTACGGAACGGTGAATTTTTTACCGGGATTTGAACTTAAACTTGAATTCCTAAAAACTCGAAAAATGATTCAACGGGTTTTTAGGAATAATCAAATTAGTTTAGAGTATTTTAAATTTACAAAGATATTTTAAAAAATTATATTTTTATTAGAGTTTGTAATTATTTGTTTTATTAACAGTTCCTACGGAACCATCTAGTCCAACTGTTTCGCTGGAACCGTCTAGCTTAACGTTAGATGGAACTGTTTGGTCGCAATAATTCCGGACTCTGATTACTTCCAACAGTTCCAGTTCCAGCAGCGGAACTGGATCTCCCACCTCTATATGGGACTAACGAAACGCCGCTCTATACGCAGAAATTGTCCCTAGAACGAAAACGAATCCCTAGACGAACACCCTTCAATAGTAGCTCCCAAACCAGATAATCTAGTAACCATGCTCTAGGTCGGTTAAGCGATTGGCTGAAAGTGGGTAAAGTTTAAAAACCATAATCATCGACTTAAACCTCGGCTCATTTTGGTTGATTTATCGTGGCGAATACGAAAAGTGACCTTGAACTATAATTCACGTTTTAGGTCACTGCGGTGAATACGGCCCTAAGTTTATACTGGCGTCTAATTACAGAACGATTCCGTAGCCGTAGTTCTGGTTTTTACCACGAGATGCCGCTAGTCTCGAGACGTTCAGATAGGGTATACCTACAGTGACCATACGTCCTTTATTTAAGAGGACAGTCCTTTATTTCACTGCTCTGTCCTACTAGTGGGCTTTTACCACCCAGTTCTAAAGTCACTCTCTTTAAGTTAGTCAGTCCTGATGCTTGCTGAATCTTTCTTCCAACCTAAAAAATCAAGATAATAAATTTTTTAAACTAAATGTTTTAACGTTATGAGTAAATCATTTATACCTGAACAGAACCTGTAAATGAAACTTTATTGACATGTAAATGACATGTCAAAGCTGCACCGGCTGTCTGCCCATATCCGGGAACAATATTTACGACTCCTGGTGGAAAACCAGCTTCAACAATTAAACCAGCTACATATAAAGCAGTCAAAGGCGTTTGTTCAGCAGGTTTAACCACAACAGTATTTCCAACAGCTAACGATGGACCTAATTTGTTAGCTAACATGATCAGTGGAACATTCCACTGATAGAGTTATTAACGTTAATAAGAAATAGAGTTATTAACGTTAATAAGAATCAAAAGTCTTATCTGATTTCTAATTACCGTAATAACTTACTGGGAGAATTAGACCGCAGACACCAACAGNTAGAATAACTTTTATAAAATACTGTATAATTTTAAATATTTTGATAAAAATAATAAACAATAATCATCTTTTAAAGCTATAATATAAACATTGAACATTAGACAAAAGAAATTTGACGTTCAACAAACGAACAGTAGCAAATTTTGTTCATAATAAATTAATTCTAACTGTAGTGTATTTACACCACAGTCAGAATTATGCTTGTCCAGCTTCTTGACGTCACGAAGTAGCGACATCTCGTGGTAAAAAACAGAACTACGGTTATGGAATCGTTCTGTAATTAGACGCCAGTAGATTATTTACTCTTCCATCGACACGAATTGTATTTTAGTTTAGCTTCTATAACACTATTTTAATTTTGCTCCATGGTTAAAAAATTATTTTTAAATTTTAAAAATACGAATAAAAATATATTTTTAAATCTTAATTGTAATCATAATTTTTACTTTCGAATTTCTCGTAAATATTTTTATAAATCGCCGCAAGGTGTCTCTATGGAGAAAATGGCGGCTTTATCAAGTTTGGATTTGACAGATGAAATATTGGGAAAAATCGAAGTAGTCGTCGAAATACGTTCTATGCTTGGATCTTCCAATATTTCTCTACGATTAACAGAGTGTAAGACGAATGTAAATAAGTTTTCTGTAACTATTAAAAAGACCGAAATCGTTTTTTTGATACACAATGAACAAAAGTATTGTTTGAATTTAAAAATTGAAGATTATGAATTCGTCCCGTCCTCCTGTTCGGGATTATCTGGTTTTATTTCTAGTTCGGGACATTTTCAATCGTGTATATTAAATAACGAACGTGAAAACTTTAAACCTAAGGGAAGTGGACTTGAAATCACTTTCAATATCCAAGTTGGAAGGAAGAAAGAACCATTTGTTTTCACAGAACTCAATGAAGAACTCGTGGCTTTAAGTTCCCTTTCTTCTGAGATAAACAACTTTGGTAAGAAATTGAGAAGAAACGTGCCGTATCAGTTGAGATGTAAAACGTGTCTTCGACAGTTTTTCAATTCTCCCATCCTTTTCAAAAATATATACGAGATGCCTTCTGATAATTGGGAAGAGCTATCGTCCGATTGGTTTTGTCATAAGAGAGGAAACGACTTAACTGCGTCCATAAGGAATTACCAACTAAATTTGGATGATTTGATTCTAGCTGATTCGTATTATAAGTTAAATGTTAATATATTTTCTGGGATATTGTGTGATGAGAAAACAAAAGAAATAAGTTGCGAACGTTGTTATTCTCGTATTGGAATGTTAGATGAAAGGACAAAGCATTCGAAGATAATTACATTTTTTAAAGTGAAAGCTTTTTTTTCAGAAGTTTATGAAAATGAAAATTGTCATGATGATGATAATGATATTGAATTAATGAAATATTTTATTAAAAAGCATTCGAATCTAACTTCGACTTGCAAAATTTGTTTTGATGTTGAGGTATGTTAATTTTTTTCTAAAGTTTGTATTTAAATATATTTTTTAAATTTATTTATTTTTACACTTGTTTCCAAATTAAGGAACAAATTTGAAAATTTTATAAAATGTTTGCAGTAAAATTTAAAATCTTTCTAACTGAAAATGCTGTGCAAATTAAAACTTTTTTAAATATATAAAGTAGCTAATTTTTAAAAATGAATGTTTTTGAACTTGATTCATTTATGTTCTAATAGATGTTTTACAACTATTTAATTAAATTGCTATGGATAATCCTCAAGACATAATAAAAGAAATGAGATAGAGGGCTATTGGAAGACTTGAAGCTGGCCACAGTCTCAAGGAATCATGTGGTTTAGTCAATTTCCAATTTGTAATCTACAGAATTTAGAAGACACTTCAGAAGACAAATGGTTCAAGATTTAGCAATGGAAAATCATGAAAAACAGCTGCAAGAGAAAAGACCATTATCTGAAATTATCTGCTTGAAAGAGAAGGATGTCTACTCTACCCAATTGTGTTCTGTCCTTTCAGCAGTAATAGAAACTGGTTTTTTTTATTCCCTGATGCATAGATGAATTTATAAGTGTGGTGTTTGTTCTAAGAAGCCTATAGTTTTCACTTCCGTTGCCCCTCAGCATAAAAGAGAGCAATTCAATTGATGGAGGCAACATTCAACTGGACTCATGATTAATGGAGGTCTGTTCTCTTTACAGATGAGTTTAGATTTTCACTACAGAGTCATTACAATTTCACTACAAACATTTGTCAAATATCCTTGAAAAGAATATGTCTGGATTGCCATACAAATCTGTGTGAGCTTCCACCAAGTTTCATGAATGCTCAAAAGTATGGAGATGAGATCTTACAACTGTGTCAAGCCATTTACTTGAGATTGATGATAATTTCATCCTACTTGTACTAAAAAATGGCGGCTTTATCAAGTTTGGATTTGACAGATGAAATATTGGGAAAAATCGAAGTAGTCGTCGAAATACGTTCTATGCTTGGATCTTCCAATATTTCTCTACGATTAACAGAGTGTAAGACGAATGTAAATAAGTTTTCTGTAACTATTAAAAAGACCGAAATCGTTTTTTTGATACACAATGAACAAAAGTATTGTTTGAATTTAAAAATTGAAGATTATGAATTCGTCCCGTCCTCCTGTTCGGGATTATCTGGTTTTATTTCTAGTTCGGGACATTTTCAATCGTGTATATTAAATAACGAACGTGAAAACTTTAAACCTAAGGGAAGTGGACTTGAAATCACTTTCAATATCCAAGTTGGAAGGAAGAAAGAACCATTTGTTTTCACAGAACTCAATGAAGAACTCGTGGCTTTAAGTTCCCTTTCTTCTGAGATAAACAACTTTGGTAAGAAATTGAGAAGAAACGTGCCGTATCAGTTGAGATGTAAAACGTGTCTTCGACAGTTTTTCAATTCTCCCATCGTTTTCAAAAATATATACGAGATGCCTTCTGATAATTGGGAAGAGCTATCGTCCGATTGGTTTTGTCATAAGAGAGGAAACGACTTAACTGCGTCCATAAGGAATTACCAACTAAATTTGGATGATTTGATTCTAGCTGATTCGTATTATAAGTTAAATGTTAATATATTTTCTGGGATATTGTGTGATGAGAAAACAAAAGAAATAAGTTGCGAACGTTGTTATTCTCGTATTGGAATGTTAGATGAAAGGACAAAGCATTCGAAGATAATTACATTTTTTAAAGTGAAAGCTTTTTTTTCAGAAGTTTATGAAAATGAAAATTGTCATGATGATGATAATGATATTGAATTAATGAAATATTTTATTAAAAAGCATTCGAATCTAACTTCGACTTGCAAAATTTGTTTTGATGTTGAGGTATGTTAATTTTTTTTTCTAAAGTTTGTATTTAAATATATTTTTTAAATTTATTTATTTTTACACTTGTTTCCAAATTAAGGAACAAATTTGAAAATTTTATAAAATGTTTGCAGTAAAATTTAAAATCTTTCTAACTGAAAATGCTGTGCAAATTAAAACTTTTTTAAATATATAAAGTAGCTAATTTTTAAAAATGAATGTTTTTGAACTTGATTCATTTATGTTCTAATAGATGTTTTACAACTATTTAATTAAATTGCTATGGATAATCCTCAAGACATAATAAAAGAAATGAGATAGAGGGCTATTGGAAGACTTGAAGCTGGCCACAGTCTCAAGGAATCATATGGTTTAGTCAATTTCCAATTTGTAATCTACAGAATTTAGAAGACACTTCAGAAGACAAATGGTTCAAGATTTAGCAATGGAAAATCATGAAAAACAGCTGCAAGAGAAAAGACCATTATCTGAAATTATCTGCTTGAAAGAGAAGGATGTCTACTCTACCCAATTGTGTTCTGTCCTTTCAGCAGTAATAGAAACTGGTTTTTTTTATTCCCTGATGCATAGATGAATTTATAAGTGTGGTGTTTGTTCTAAGAAGCCTATAGTTTTCACTTCCGTTGCCCCTCAGCATAAAAGAGAGCAATTCAATTGATGGAGGCAACATTCAACTGGACTCATGATTAATGGAGGTCTGTTCTCTTTACAGATGAGTTTAGATTTTCACTACAGAGTCATTACAATTTCACTACAAACATTTGTCAAATATCCTTGAAAGGAATATGTCTGGATTGCCATACAAATCTGTGTGAACTTCCACCAAGTTTCATGAATGCTCAAAAGTATGGAGATGAGATCTTACAACTGTGTCAAGCCATTTACTTGAGATTGATGATAATTTCATCCTACTTGTACTAAGCCAGAATTATTGAGTAATATCTTGTTGAGATTAGTATTAGCTGAAGAATTGGCCAGCTGGTTTCCCTGACCTCAAGATCAAAGGAATAAACTGACCAATTCATATGCCAGGCAGACATATTTCAGGTTTTAATCCTTCTTGGAATTGATAGCTATTGTTAGTGAAAAATTTCTTTCCAGAAGAGTTTTGAACAATTGATTTTCAGCATGAAACATCAACATGAAACAATGTATTGCTGAGGGGTAATCACACTCATTATTAACTTACTGTCATTATGCCATTACATGAAACATGAATTTTTGTCTTTTTTGACCACGCATCAAATTTTTTTTATTAAATAATTAACTTTTGTTTAGTATTATTAGAAACCACATTGAATTACATATCATCATCAAATTTTATAGAGTAACTTTAAATAATTTTCTGGATATTTTCAATTTCACTTTGTTCCTTAATTTTTGGAAACCAATATATTAAAATAAATTATAGAAATATAATAAGACATGAAAATATACTGTATAAAATTAATTTAAAGCATGTTTTTTTATTAGAAAATTTATTTTTATCATCAATTCTAAACTTTTTCTGAATCAAATGGTTATTAATGTCATCATTTACAAATTTAAATTCATATAAAATTTTTAAATTTCTAGTTAAATGTCTGACCATCCATATTTCAAAACCATTTAATCTAATTAATTTTTTAAGATACAAAAACTCTGTACTAAAATTCAAGAATAACTCAATGTTTCTTACATACTAAAAATATAAATTCAATTTTTTTCAGAGTAGAGAAATGCTTAATTTAATATTTTAATATCATAATTATCCTTATTTAATTATTATACTGATTATTCAACATAATGGATTTTGGAAACAATAGATAGATCAATTTATTAAAGTGGAATTACAATAGCAGACATTCTTCATACTACATCCCTGGTTGGAAGTATGGCACTTGGTTCCTCATATTTATCTTATTGGTTCACAATATAAACTGTTTGTCTCTCTTATCACATATCATATATAAAAATTTTTTATAGCTGATCATGACATCTTTGGATACAACAGACATCTGGTATCAGTTGACCACCACTTATTACCCTATTAGTTTGTTATATTGCAGGCTAACAGCATGACTGTAATTGTGGGGATAGAGATAAGCCATTAAATAAAAAAATTTATTTGTCCAAACTTCAAAACATTTATGACAAGTATGGTTTATCAGACTATCTGCAATAAAATTGTCTTGTATGTATTAATAAAAATTCCTTATAATAATTCAAATATTTTTGAGTTATCCCCTCTTTAGGTTCTTCTGGATCAGCCACTGGCCGACAGTAATTAAATATTTTGCATTTTCAAAACTTTTAAAACATATTTTACTTTGTTACTTTGTAATGAACTTATTATTACAACTATTAAATACTTGATTTTTATTTCAGAGTAAAGAATTTGATGATCAAAACAATACTTCCTTATTAATATGGGCAATGGATTGCAAGCTTAGTCGTTTTTATACATCGTTTTCTATCTATAGCTCTTCAAAGGAAAATACTATAGATATTTTAACCAAAAATGTAATTAGAATATTATATTTTATAACATCAAGAGATTCTGTCGAAGCCTGGAAATGGAGGCAAGACTTTTCTGTTGAAGTAGAGAAGATTGATCAAAATATTCTATGGTTGTTTCTAAAGGAATTAGTTGAAAGCACCAAGACTGTTCCACCTTCTCAAAGATTTGTAGATCAGTTGATGTTGGGATATTTACATGTTTAGAACATTAATAATAATGTTATGTAATCTGTTGATAACTTGAACAATTTGTATGCCATTTTTTCTCAGGAATATTTTAGTAAATATTTTTTTTTTATATAGATATATTATAGTTGATTGAGAACTTTATATACATTTATTATGAATGAATTGATCCTTTTTGTACATTTTGAATATACACTTTAAAGGTTTTTAAGCACAATAAAATTCCTAAAGTAATATATAAACAGAAAAGTTTTAGAAAAATATAATCATAGGAAAAATTTTTACACCAAAGTAAGCAATATTAAATACAGTAGAGCGTTGATTTTCCGAAAGTCAATCATCTGAAAGATTTCCAGTCGGCAAATTTAAATTTTCACCAGTGCTGTGGAGCTTCAATCTTTGGCTATGTCTTGGGCTACTCAAATATTTTACGTTTTTGATACTAAATTAACATCTGAAGTATAATTTTTTATTGTTTTTATATTTTTCAATATATTTATTTTGTTTGTACAAAATAAAAAAATAATTTTTAATGATACAATAGTCTT